AACTCTCTCCTACCCAGAAAGTTTGAGCCTTGGGGGGGGGGGATTTGGCAAATATGGTGGATTTGGCAATTTATGTTTCCTTGTTAGTTAAATTCCCGTCTTCTCTTTAAAATATAGCCATGTTAGCATTAATTTTGCCATGTGAGCCACTCGCAGTTGGTTTTTGGCTACCGGTGAGAAGAATGAGCCTTATTGACTAAAAGGCCGGGAAAAAATACATTGTTGTCGCCGGATTTTTTAAATATACTAAACTAGCAAACAAGATCGAATAAAAATACCAATTTGGTAATTTTGCCAATAACAAAACTCCATATTTACCATGCCAAATTTAGGTTCCTTCCTACGGCCCAAGATTTAATGAGAAACCGTAGTACCAAATTAGGCCCATGGGCCTATAGCCTTAATCGGAAACGGTTAAATAAGAGCCCTGGCCTGTTGAATTTGGATTAATGCATCTCCTTCATCACTTTCATTTTTTTATTTTACTAGGAGAGATACACGTGCATTGCACATGGTTATTTGTTCGACTTATTTCTTTAGTATAACTTGGTTGTAAAAGTGTTTCTTTTAAATCTCAACTCGATGATGTAATATTATCTGTGGACTTTCTTAATACTTACATTTATGTACCTTCAGCTTTTATTTTTTTTGTCGTTGTGACCATAAGCAATGTAAGCTACAAATTATTGGAAAATATCATTCGCTTATAAACCATGAGTAATGTAAGCTACACATTATTCGAAAAGATTATTCGCTCATATAGAAATCAATTTCTTCAATGCTTCAAATATAATAATAACATATGACATAAAATTCTTATGAAGTAAACAAGAAAAGGAAAAAAAATCTTTTATCTTAATCCCTAATGACTGTAGAATAAGAAATTCTATCATCATTTAAGAAAATCTCTCCATAAGTTTGCAAAGATAACCACATTGAACTACTAGGTTGCTCAATTCTTATTATTTTAAAATTAATTTCATCAAAACATTAAAATAGTTATTACATCCGCATTTCTTAAGTTATTGTAATATCAGCTTCTCCAATCAAGAGTAAAAAAAGCAATTAGAGGGAAATTAATCCCTCAAATTGCTAATTATACCATTAATTTGAATGACTAATTTCAAATAACTTAAGAATTGAGTTACCTAATAATAATTTTAATGCTTTGACAAACTAATTTCAAAATATGAAAGGTTTAAGGGACTACTACAAAAAAAATACTTCAATCGATTAGTTTTTCTTAGTAATTAATTAATTCCATAATTTGTTATCAATCAATTGGTTAATATTTACACGTGCAATGCATATTATGTTTACAATGCTAATGTGCTCTAAGCTTCTTTTTACTCTTTAGTTGTTTGCCAATTCTAATTTGATTAAATTTTTAATTGGTTTTGAATAGAGAGAGCTTTAATTTGGGAGTTTAATTTTCTTTATACTATTTAGTTGTCAACCAATTCTAATTAGATCAATTTTTAATAATTAGTTTTGAGTGGAGAGAGCTTTAATTTAAGAGTTTAATTTTAAATTAATAGCTTTAATTGATAACCAATTATAATTAGGATAAGAATGTCAATATAGAAAAGGATTAGGGGTAAATTAACCAATAAAACTTTTTTAAGAACTTTCCCTTTTAAAGGGAGTATGATATGATTTGCTATTTTTGGATGTTGTGACATGAATAGTTGCCTTACTACCAAACATCGTTTTCATCACCAAGGCGAAAACGAAAACTCCCATGTTCTCAGATTCTTAAAATCATATTTAATATCAAGTAAAATATTGTGAGTTTGAGACCCAAAAAAAAAAAAATAGCCAAAGTGCGCGTTGGGCAAATCAAATGAGTAAAACCAGGGACGAATTTAGAATTTTTTTACTATAGGGGTACGTATTTCATTATACATATTTAGAATTTTAGGGTTTATTTTGCAAATTGTTTATATTAGCCCTTAAATCTTTCATATTTTGCAATTCGTTCCTCAAATCACTAAAATTGCTATAAGGTCCCTCTATTCTTAAGATTTTGTTGAAATTAATCCCTTCAATCAATAGTAGAATTAAGAACTAGGGGGTCCTAGTCAATGAGAATATTTTCACAAGAAGTGCGATAATTGTTGAAGTGAGATAATTTTTTGAAAGTGGGATATTTTAGTGAAATAATCGGGAACAAATTTTTGAAGTGTGATATTTTGATAAACATATGTGGGATAATTTATGATAATAAAGAACTATACAATTTTTACATTTTGATGATATAACTACTATTTTATATTTTAAAACTTATTGTTGTTTATTAATTATTGTTTAATATAATATTAGTTATTGTTAAATAACTTTTGGTTAGAATACATATTCTTAATAATTATTATAATAATACATTAGAATTTGTTTTGTGAATTATTATAGTACAGCCCTAAAAGATTAAAGGCAAAAACGGAACCTCCTATGTTCTCGGATTCTTAAAATCATTTAATGTCAAGTACAATATTTGAGTTCGAGACAAAAATATAAACAAAAGGTCTGTTTGGCAAATCAGTAAAATTAAGGACGGATCTAGAAATTTTTTATTACGGGGGCACATATTTTATTATACATATTTAGAATTTTAGGGTTTTTTTGCTGGTTTTTTATATTAGTCCCTTACATCTTTCATATTTTGCAATTAGGCCCTCAAATCACTAAAATTGCTATTAGGTTCCTCTATTCGTAAGTTTTAGTTCAAACTAATTCCTTCGATCAAGAGTAGAATTAAGAATTGGAGTGGTAATATGAAACGTCTTATGATAATGTAGTAACCTTATTAGCAATTTCAATGATTTGAGGGACTAATTTCCCAATAATTGATACTTTCACACTTGATTTCAGGGACTAATTTCAAAATAACATAAGAATTGCGAAACCTAATAGCAATTTTAATGATTGGAGGGACTAAATTTCAAATAACCTACGAATTAGGGGACCTTATAACAATATCAATAATTTGAGTGACTAATTTCATAAAATGAAAGATGTAAGGCTATAATATCTGAAAAATATTTTTCTCTACTGCAGGCCCATTATGATCTGCATCTAAAGGTATTGAGTTACATGGTTTGACGGGTGGGCTTGGATTTAGGTTTGGGCTAATTTCGGCCTTTGGGCTGCGCATTACTTCAGGGGCAACTGTTACAATTTAAAAAAAAAAAAATCTTATTCTTTACTTTTTGTAACACGTGTGGAAAGGCTAGGGGCACGTGCCCCAACTTTAAATCCGTCATTGAGTAAAATTGAGTCAGTTCAATTCGTGCTTAAATTTAGCTATTTTCTATTTTGAAAAAAAAGCAGTTCAATTCTAACCCAGATTTATTAGTTTAAAAGTATAAACAGTACATAAAACTTAGTTGAGCATTGAAATTTACAAACATGGGATGCGAATGTGTTAAAAATTTGTACAAAACCATATTATTTATGATTTAAAAAAAATAAAATTAAAGTACATACAAAGTAAATTCATATCAAAATTCTCACTAGAATTATCTGAATCACGTACTAAACTGTTTCTCTAACTCACATCTCAATATCTTGAAATGTTTTGCACATTCTGATAGGAGCCTTGCTCGTATACATGTGCGAGCATACATGTGCTTCTCATAGTTAAAAGCACAAATATGATTATACAAATGGAGATATATCCACATATAATACATGAGATGCACATTTTTTAATTAAAAAGATTATTATTATTATTGGCTGAAGATGCATTATCTTTGGTCCACACATTTCCAGCTCGTTACTTGTTCTTTCAACTAAAAAAGTTGACCCACAGCGAACAACATCAACTAATTAGCCTCTGTGTCTCCATTAACAACACTTCAATAATACTCTAATAAAATAATAATATTAAATCCCCAAACCCAAAATTGTCTTTTTCTCCTCCCAACCTCCTCTTCATCTTCCCCCATCCTTTCTCTCTCTCTCTCTCTCTCTCTAACAAAAGATGCGAAGCTTCTAATTGAGCGACCAAGAACAGTAAAAGAGGAATCTTTCGTCTCTTTGTGGCCCCTTTGCTTCTCTTGTTGGGTGCGTATATTTCCTTTTTTAAAAATTAGATTTTATGATGTGGGTTTGGGGGGTTTTCTTGATTCTTGATGGCCCAATATGAGATTGATTTGTTTGGGTAGGTTTTAGGAGGTATACCCTTGATGGGTTTTGTTTTTCTTGCTGTATTGTTATAGTTTGTTCTATGTTTTTGGTGTGTAGTTAAGGTGTTTGATATTTTGCTTCAAAGGGTGTGAATTTTTTTGCAAAGCAATCGGTATTGGATTGAGTTCATGTTGGGTTTTCTTGGGGGGGACACAATCATAGCGTGATTGATATATGAATGTTGAGGAAACTTATTTAAGGGTGAAGTCACTTATCACAAATGAATAAGTTGAATGCTAGAAATTTGCTATTTGTGGAACCTTTTGTGTGTTTACTCACACCATGTTTTTAGTAAACTTTTTTTTTCTATTATCAAAATTAAACACCATTCTTCTGTGGTACTTAGTAGTTATCTTGATTTGAGAATTAGGTAACCACAATCTTCATTTGTCCATTTCTTTCTGATTCTCCTAAGAATTACTGCACTGAGGCTATAATCCCTCTCCTTAGTTCCCACTTGTACTGCATAAACTTTTTATTTTCTTCTAAATTGTACGTTGTGAATTAGTTTATGACTACAGGATTTATCCTTTTTGCAGAAAGTCTACGATGGGGCTGAATATCTTCGAACCGGGCCATCAAGATTGTTCTTGTGTCTAAACTTTGTTTACTTCAAGACATACACTGGATATTTTGGTTTAACAAGCAAAGATGGTTTCAGAATGTAATAGGAAGTGCGCTGATGAAATCCATGAAGCAGCAAATGGCAACGAAAGCAAGGGCGAGGCCTCTCTTTATGTTCAGACGTCTCAAAGGGGACTTTTAGACGAAAAAAAGAAAAATAGTTTATATCTCGATCTTATA